CCTTCCCAATTTTGAACCATGCAGTGTTTCCTTGCTCTGTTCTGATGACTGCCTCCTGGTCCAAGTATAGGTTTCACAAAAGCACTATCAAGTATTCTTGGATTCCCATTCTTCTCAGAGTCAGCCACAGTTTGTTGTGGTCCACACATCAACTACTCATATGCAAGTTTAAGCTGAAGCTAAGGAAAATTAAATCAAATCTACAGGAACCAAAATATGACCTGAATATCCCACCTGAATTTCAAAACCATCTCAGGAACAGATTTGAGGCCTTGAACACTAATGAGTGAAGACCAGATGAGCTATGGGAGGATATCAACAATATTATCCAGGAGGAGTACAAAAGGTCATACATGGACAGAGGAGGAAGAAAAGACCAAAATGAATGCCAGAAGAGACTCTGAGTATTACACTAGAGTGCCGAGAAGCCAAAGCAGAGGGAAGAAATCAAAACATTAAGGAACTGAACAGAAAATTTCAAAGGGCAGAGCAGGAAGACAATATAAAGTATTATAATGAAATGTGCAAAGAGCTGGAGTCAGGAAATTAAAGGGGCCAAACTTGCTCAGCATTTCTTAAGCTCAAGTAACTGAAGAACAAATTCAAGCCTCGAGTTGCAATACTTAAGGATGCTTTGGGCAGAATATTAGATGATCCAGGAAGTATTCAAAGAAGATGGAAAAAGTATGCAGAGTCATTGAACCAAAAGGAATTGGCGGACACAGAAGAATTTAATGAAAGCACACCCTAGTCTTTTTAAATTTATGAGCTCTGGTGGCCTAGTGACAAGAAGCTGAGCTGTAATACCACATTGTTCAAGGCCACCAGGTTCTCTGTGGGAGAAGGATGGGATATATATATATATCACATATATATGTGTGTGTGTGTGTAAAGATATGTATGTGTGTGTGTGTGTGTGTGTGTATAAAATTTGAAAGCAGGAGTGGCATCCACTTCCACAATAGTTTGCCTCCAGAAGTTCTGTGAACATGGAGAAACAATGAAAGTTATACAAGTGTTCAGGTCTTTCGTTCATAGGGTCGCTATGAGTCGTGCTTGACTTGACAGCAACCAACACAACAACTCTATCTCTATCTATCTATCTATCTATCTATCTATCTATCTATCTATCTATCTATCTATCTATTAATATTTAATGCAGGCCAACCCCTGACCTGAGGAAACTTCTCCTACATTAGATATTATATATCATTGTTGTTGTGTTGATTGCTGTCAAGTCAAGCACAGCTCATAGCAACCCTATGAACAAAAGGCCTGAAGCATTTCTATAACTATCTACATTTATCAAAGTTCATAGAATTCCCAGAGGCATGCTGTCTAATTTTGCCTCAATGACATCCTAGAAATTAGGGTTTAGAACACACAGGATAATTTTACTGAAAATCATGGCAGAGATGACACACTACGTTAACCATCTCAACTGTACGCAGATATGCAGGTAGAAATACCTTCTGACAAACCTATGTTCATATCATCATGAGTGTAATACCTTTCACATGCCCATATTTGTTATCTATTCATCCACTTAGAGATTAATGTTTATCACTACTGATAGTGCAAGATTGTGCGCGCACTAATGGGAATCTTCGATGTTTGTATCTTTTTTTTGATTTTATATTTTTAGCCTCATTTGTTGAAATATTTTAAAGATAATTACAAACCTATAACACTTCATTCCTAAATATATAGAACATAAATTTGCTTCCTTAATACTACTATTCTCAAGCAAGCCATAAAATGAAAATATCAGCAAATGTAAGTAATAAAATTTTTACATTTTATGTAATAGCAACCACTGTGTACATCTCTGCATTGTCTCTCTCTTCTGGAATACTTTGCTGTTCACTTATTTATTGTATATTGCTTTTATCTTTTAATCAACTTGATATTGACCTACAACCAAAAACAAAAAAAATCAAAACTTCCAAAATACTGCTTAACAGGGAAAACTAAGTAATACTTTTCCATTCTGGTGCATTTTTAATAATGAAGATACTTTTCTCAGCTAGATACTACTGAAATCCATGAAAGTTTGTTTCAAAGGCCAATCCTTTCCCTCATTCCAAGTCATCTTCCCATCCTAAGAAACAAAATAAAATAAAGGACACTTGAAACTGCCAGTCTTGCTGTTAGAGCCAAGCACTTAGCCCAAGCTATCCTTACCCTAAATCTAGATTTCATTTAAATTTGAAAGTTTACCCATAAAATAACTTAATTTGAGTGATTTCAGCTATTTTAGATCAGGGCAAAGTGATAGCCCCGTGACTGCTAAGCATCTCACCTGAGCGAGCATCATCTCATTTTTCAGACATGCCTACACATGTTGTGTATAAAACGCCTAGTCAATACATGTGTTCAAGTGCACCGGACACCTTCCAGGCCAGTCTCAGTGTGAAATTTCTCTCTGGGTTACCTGCAATCCCAGAGTGACTATAAAGAGCCGGCTTCTATTTCAAGCTCAGTCTCTCAGTTCTGACCCATCCTGGACTTGCCCAACTCCGTCTCCCACTGAGATCTCAAGGAATTTACACAGGCCTGCCATCATCTAGTAGATCTTTTCTTAGACTTTTTTTTTCTTCTTATCTTTTAGTTCTCTGGTGGTATAGTCCGTGAGGAGTTGCTCTGCTAACCCAAAGGCCACATCTTCTCTGGTGGGAGAATCCATTGAGACAGATGAGTAATCTCCTCTCTCATAATTTACAGTCTTGGAAACTCGTTGG